CTGCAAATAATGAGGATCAACTGTATAAAATGTAAGCACTGCTTTAGCTGCATCCTGCAAATTTTGATATGATGTATTTTCATTTAATTCAGGGTTTGGCAAATTATGGGCTACTGCATGTTTTGTAAATGAAGCTTTATTGGAGCACAGCCATGCTCATTCTTTTATCTGTTGTTTTGCTGCTTTTGCCCTATAACAGCAGAGATGATTAGTTCTGACAGACGCTGTAAGGCCCGCTAAGCCTAAAATATTTCCTACCTGGTTCTTTACAGAAAAAGTGTGTTGACCCCTGATGTACAGTCATGTGCCACATAATGATGTTTCAGTCGATGACAGACCACATGTACAACGGTGGTCCCATAAAATTAGTACCATACAGCCTAGGTGTGTAGTAGGCTATACCATCTAGGTTTGTGTAAGTTCATGCTATGATGTTCACACAACAACAAAATCACTTAACAGTGCAGTTCTCTGAACATATCCCTGTTGTTAAGTGATGCATGACTGTAGTTCAGAATATTTTTTAGTTTCCCTTGAAACTTTTCCTTTGATCCATGGATTATTTAGAATTCTATTGTTTAACTTCCAAACATTTGGAGATTGTCCAGATGTGTTTCTGTTACTGATTTCTAGATTAATGCTGTTATGGTCTGGAAATGCACATTGTATGATTTCTATTTTCTTTAATTAGTTAAGGTTTGTTTTGTGGCACAGAATATAGTCTATCTTGGTGAGTATTCTGTGTGTATATGAGAAGAATGTATTATCTGCTTTTGTTTGATGGAATGTTCTATAAATGTTCAGTAGGTCCATTTGGTTGATAGTGCTGTTCAGGTCATCTATTTCCTTACTGATTTTCTGCCTACTCATTCTATGAATTAAAGAGAGAGGAATGTCAAAGACTCCAACTATACTTGTGGATTCATCTGTTTCTCTTTTCAGGTCCTATGGGGTTTTGCCTCATGAATTTTGAAACTCTGTTGTTAGGTGCATACACGTTTAGGATTGTCATGTCTCCTTGGAGAATCTTTTATCATTATATAATGTCCCTCTTTGTTTGCTAATCTTCCTTGTTCTGAAATCTACTTTGTGTGAAATGTAGCTACTCCAGCTTTCATTTAGTTGATACTGTTTCATGATATATCTTTATCCCTTTGCTTTAAACTTATCAAAGTTTGTACATCTAAAAGGAATTTTTTGTAAACAGCATATAGTTGGTTCACGCTTTTTAATCCAATCTGACAATCTATGTCTTTTAACTGGTATGTTTAGACCATTCACATAGAAAGGGATTCATAATATTTGGATCAACATCTACCAACTTGCTAGCTTCTTTCTGTTCCATTTGTTCTTTGTTTCTTGTTACCTCTTCTTCTGTTTATTGGGCATTTTTTTATGATTCCATTTTATCTCCTTTATTGACATTATTTATGCCTCTTTTTCCAAATCTTATTTAATGGTCACCTTAGGTTTTACAGCATACGTATTTAAGTAATTTGACTCCACCTTCTAATAATATTATACCACTTTACCTATAGCATATAAGGACCTAATAACATTATATTCTCAAATCTTCCCTCCCATCCCTGTGTCACTGTTATATATTTTACTATTACAGATGCTATAAACACCTAATACATTGTTCATATTATTACTTTAAACTGTCAGTTATTTTTAGAACAATTAAAAATAAGAAAAATATAGATCATATTTGACTGGAGGTTTCAGAGCAGAGAAATGTCCTGGTCCCTTTAAAATGTAGCTTTTCTCCTTCTGGTTGCTCTAGGGGGAGCAGAGAGACCAGCTGGGAGGTGGTTGCTGTAATCTAATGGAGACGTGACAGTGGCTTCTTCCAAGGTCACGTTAGATAACACAGAAGAGTTTGTTAGATAGGACATCCAGGAATCTTTTTTGTTTACTTCAAAGTCTCACAATTTTTCATGCCAGTTCAAATATTTAGATTTAAAGCTGCTGCGAACTATTTGATAAGACGTTAGCATTAAAACCCTAAAAACATGACCGATGATCCTTGTTGACCTCATAGTTCAGTTTGAAATAATCACAGTAATTGTGGTCATCATCATAAGACAGACAAATATGACTGCTTAAAAAGTGTGGTGTCAGCTTTGTAATTTTTAAAAAATTTAAGATTATGTACACGTTAATCAAAACTAATGCCCTTGTCCACATTTTTCATTCGTGTTTCTTTGTTGGCAAATTTTTAGGTCACTTATTGGAAGTTCATCATATTCTACTCAAAGAATATCAGCCAAGTTATGTACCTGGGTAATTCTACCAAAATTGTATTTCTGAGTCCTAGATTATATTGCCTTTGTAGAATACAGGAACTTTCAGTAATAAATGTCTGACCTTAAAAAATATATCTTCTGTATTTCCTTGTGGTGAATTCTAAATAAAAGCATTCTCTATTCTACCTTAATTCAAACTTTCCACTCTCTGCAAAACTGGAAACTCTACATTTATCATCAGTTTTTTCTTTTTAGTTCAGTATTTATTCAGTTTAAAATGCTTTTTAAACTCTTTGTAAATTTCCAAATGTACTCTGTCTCCTCAAAAGTAGAGAGTACAATGACCCCATGTGTACCCATCCCCCAGTTTTATCAACTTTTTGCCATACTCTAAAGAATAATCTATAATCTCTTCTTTTGCTGAAATATATTAATCAAATTTTGATATGTCCTGTCATTTCATCCCTAAATATTTCAGTATGTGTCTTAAACAAAACAAAATTTAAAATGGATGTTTTCTTAAACATTACATTATATTATCACATCTATCATGATTAACAACAATTCCTTAATATCTAATGCCCAGTTCATATTCGAATTTCCCTAATTGTCAATACAATCTATGTATTTTTACAGTTAACTTGATCCAGATCTAAAATTGGCTCCCTCACTGTATATGCTTGTTTTGTATCTTATAGCTCTCCTAACCAGAAACAGGTGTTCCTACTCCCCTTTTGTTTCATGCCTTTGTCTTGTAAAAGAAACCTGGTCAGTTGTCCTGTGGTATGCATGAGTTTGTTTAATTTGTTCCTTTATGGTTCTTGTAGACTAGAAGTTAGATCAAAGCCGTGTTTATACTCGTTTAGTTTTTTTTTTTTTTGGCAAGAATATTTCACGAGTGGTACTATTTCCTATAGCGTGAAATGAGAGGGCACATAATGTTTAATTGTTGCACTTTTAGGGATGCTAAGATGGATCGGTAGGTTCAGGTGGTGACAGCCTTCTCTTTTTATTGTAAAGTTTCTTGTCAGTTTCCCTGTGGGATGCTAAAACCACTGATGATCGTTGCCTGATCCAGTTATTTTATTACGAGTTGCAAACTGATCATTTTCTAATCATGTCATTACCTCTGCATTTATTAAGGCATATTAACAGAACTTCTCCTTGTACATCAGAGCTGTTTGGTTAACTTGAAATATGCTTCGTATCAGAAAAGCACAATAAATAAAGGGAAAATAATTTAGCATCAGTTTTCAGAGTAATGAATTGGTGCCCTAGCAACCTACACTGGTGTCCAATGAATTGTTTCTCTTTTTAAATGTCATTATGAACTCATGACTTTTGATATATTGCAGTATGTTTTAATACATTGCTATCATTAGTCCTTCTGATCTCACCATGTCTCATTTGGCCATTGGGAGCCCCTTCAGGCTGCCTCCTGTGTCCTTCTGATACAACCCCATTGGCCTTCGATAGCCTCATCACTTTTTGGCTCAATAAGATATTCCAGGTCGATCTTACCCTTTTCTTGCCCCAGAAAGAGAATCATCCATTTTTCTGAGAAAATGGTCCCCAGTTACCTTCTTTCCTTTACTCAGCACCTATCTTGATCTACACTGTGATGCTAAAGCACTCATACTTTAATTTGTTCTCTGTATCTAATTGTACAGTTGACTGTTATATATCCTGCCTTTTCTGTGTTTGTTGTCTGTATTAAATCACAAGCCCTCAGTTATTTTGGTGCCCAGTGTGGTGTGATCTTTTCTCTTTCTTGTGCCTTGTCCTATGGCACATGACTACATTCACCTTAGTATTTCATTACTTAACATTTCATTATTTTCCCTTGTTCCATATTTGTTTAATGGGTTTATGTCTTTTTTCAAGAAATTTGTAATTTCCTGGAGGTCAAGACTTCTCCATTACTGTAGGAGATAAAAATCAAATCTGTTAGGAATATAGTGGTAGCTGAATAAATATTAATTGAATTGAAGGGCATATTTTGTTTGGCTAACTTATGGCCATGTTTGCTAACAATTTGACACCAGTAGTGCCAATGCTACATTTAAATCCAAGCCAAACTAAACCATGAATCATTATACTGGAATTTAAAGTACAAGTGGTTTAAAAGTATTCAAATGAATTTGTAGGAAAGAAGGCACAATATGCTATTCAGACTTAAAAAATAAAAACTTGGCCGTTGGTTCTAGAATGAAGTTTTAAGGCACACTCAAGAAAAATACTTTCAGATGGTCATTCCTTTTGGTGCCTGGCCTCAATTACTGTTCGGCTTAGCTTCATTATTGGTGGCCCAGAACTTGGCTGGTAAGTAGGAGAGTGGGAAGCAAGGTTGGCTGCCTGGCAAAACCTGCTTATAACTGACTTAAATTGCCTTTGATCTTATTTGTCATTTTATCAACTATTTTTTGTACTGCTAAATGGGTAGATTTTTATGGTTTTTATAGAAGAATGAAACCCAGAAAAGCCAGACTATTTACAACCCTTAAAAATGTGACTCTAGTCCTATAATAGCACTGAAGCTACTCGTCACGTGATGAGACCCTGCGCTCATTTGTTTTATGATTAGAGGAGGAAGAAGTAGCTGAAGTGATGTGTCCCATCTGTCTACTTCCTTCTTCCTTTTCTCTTCCTCCCAAAGAAGAGGCTGGAGAGTCTTCAGGGAAAAATAAAAAGATTAATGTTAGAATGGGTTTGTATTCATGATAAGACAGGACTTCTTGGGTTTGCTTATAGGTCCTGTTATTGCCTTGGAGTTTAATGGAGACGGTGCTGTAGAAGGATGTCAACTCATTGTCAACGAGACATTCAATGGCACCAAGGTACAAGATTTTATTGACTACATTTCAATCAAAGTTTTTCATTTCATTTCCTTTTCCTTACAATCAAATAGTACTTTTATCCCTGGTATTGCTTGGAATTAAAAAGAAAAATAGAAGGTCATGAATTTTAGAACCTGTGTTAAATAATTGAGAGCTAAGCTTTGCCAAACTAAAATTTTAATTTCTTAAAAATTTACAAAATAAGAATCTACTTATTAAAAACTTCCAATAATGCATGTTTCTAAAGTCAAGTCTCATGAAATGCCTCTTGAAGTCCTTCCTTTTTTAAAATAGTGATATGTTGAAAGATGTTATATTTCTATGATTATATCTTTTAGACAATCCTATTGCCCAGTATTCGTTTTTATTTGCTTCAGAAATTGAACTTGAGCTATATCTAGAAATCATTACATGTAGGTATTTTCTAGATATGTTGATGATGTTGCTGTATTTAAGAATTTCAGACTTAAATAACTTAAAAACCAAACATATAAGAGGATTAAATGAGTATATATATATATATAACTGGTTATTTTTTGATAAATATCTGAGAGGGAATTTTTGGTTTTGTAGTCTGATTTGGTTTATGATTATTTGAACTTACATAATTTAAAGTACACTTTGTCTTTTGTCTCATTTTATCATCACACAGTATTAAGGGAGAGGGCAAAGATAATCAGATTGAATAGAAAAAGAAACAGAGAGGGAATGGCTATATGATTTGGAGTTTTTAGATCTGGATGAGTTAAAGATTGTCTAATCCAGCTTCCACATTTTACAGGTGTGGAAACTGAGCCCGTGGAGGTTTATTAAATTGTCAGCATCACACAGCTAGTTTATGATAAAGCTGGAATAGAAGCCAGGTCTCCTCTAATTCCTGGCTGACATTTGTGAAAGCTACTTTTGAAGGGTTCTATTGAGTACTGCTTTATTTATGTTTAGAAAATAATTCATTTAAAATTAATAATATATCTTTAGCAGCTTTAAAAAGATAACCTCAAATTTTGCTTCTCAGCCTATTGAGATTATTATTAGAAAATAAAAAGACTAAGAGTTCTCTGAATAAACCTCTTTATTCAGTAGCTTTTTTTTTTTAAAGATTGGCACCTGAGCTAACAACTGTTGCCAATCTTCTTTTTTTTTAATTGCTTTTTCTCCCCAAATCCCCCCAGTACATAGTTGTATATTTTAGTTGTGGGTCCTTCTAGTTGTGGCAAGTGGGACGCTGCCTCAACGTGGCCTGATGAGCGGTGCCATGTCCACACCCAGGATCCGAACCGGCGAAACCTTGGGCCGCCGAAGCAGAGCGCACGAACTTAACCACTCGGCCACGGGGCCAGCCCCTATTCACTATTCAAAATAAAACTCCAAGTGTAATAAAATACAACTGAAGTATTAGGAAAGCGAAGACTTTAGTTATAGCAGAAGTGCTTTTAAAAGAGCTCAATCTAGGGGCTGGCCCTGTGGCCGAGTGGTTAAGTTCGCGTGCTCCGCTGCAGGCGGCCCAGTGTTTCGTTGGTTCGAATCCTGGGCGCGGACATGGCACTGCTCATCAAACCACGCTGAGGCAGCGTCCCACATGCCACAACTAGAAGGACCCACAACGAAGAATATACAACTATGTACCGGGGGGCTTTGGGGAGAAAAAGGAAAAAATAAAATCTTTAAAAAAAATTTAAAAAAAAAGAGCTCAATCTACATTATAGCCATTGAAACTATATTGCATAGATACTACAGAAAATCTACTGATTAAATATTATAAATGATGTACTTGCATTTCTTTTAAATAGCAAGCTTGTGACTTTTTTCTGTGGAGAACGTGGGCTTTGGAATTTGGAGATTACTAGTATTTATTTTTTGTTTCTTTTGTATTTCAAATAGATGTTCGTATCGGAAAGCAAGGAGACAGCATCTGCAGATGTAGACAGCTTCTACAACTTTGCCGATATACAGATGGGAATATGAAATGCAGTGCGGAACCAAGAACTGGATGTTAAGTCCTTTCCAATTTGTGTATTAGCAGTGGGTTTTACTAATGCTAAAATTGTTAAAGTTGACTTTTTAATAAATCATTGAATACTGCATCATCTACTTGACTTTCAAAAGTAGTTAATTTTCAATTAAGTAGTTTCAATCAGCTTAAAAACTATGTACCCCACTTCAGTAAGCTCGCAGTTTTGTTTCTCTGCATATGGTACTGTTATTAGAAAACAAAAGTGGGTAACAGTTCATGATTTTAATCCTAATTAAATGTTCTTTCAGATCTCTAATAATTTAAACTTTCCTCAGTGCCCTGTGATATGTGTTTGAGAATACATTCCATTGCTTATTTTTTTTCTTTTTTAATTTAGAGGGATTTATTACTAGTTGATCAATGAGAACAAACCTATGCATATTTTTTTCATATATACGTATCCAGTTAAATAATTGCTTCCTAGGTGCATAATATGGAGAATGAAATTTTGTACACAGAGTTGACATAATACTTTGTAAACTGAATTTTTTAAATTAATAGGTATTTGATAACCATTTTTACAAGTAACTCTACTAACTGATGTTAGTATAGCTGTTTAAAGACTACTTTGTGAGTAGAATAATTATTTGAATCAATTCCACACCGTTTAGTTTTTGAATACAGCTGCTAGATGACTCTTCTGCTTCCTGGTAAGAAAAGGCATATGCAACACTAAAACTGTGAAATTCCAATCACCGGCAGTTTTCCAGAAGGTGATTACCATTTTATCAGCTCTTGAGGGCTATTAGGAGAATTAGAACAAAATCTTGTGACATTTAGGTAAGAAATACTTAGGCATGATGATAAGCTATGCAGGTTATTAAAAAGCTAGATAAATTTGATTTTCATTAGACATGCCACTCATATCAAATAATGTTCAAGTATGATAAAATTATTTTGTTGCTTTAAAGCATTATTTTCTAAATCAACTTGACCAAAATAATTTACCAGGAGGCAGGGGAGAGCTAACTGTTTAAAAATCCACATTCTTGGACCCAATCCCCAGATGCACGGGTTCAGTCTCCAGGAGAAACTCTGTTTTAAGGGGTTTGTAGTAATCTAAAGTAATCAGGTCAGAAGATGTTGATAGGTTGATCATGTGAGAAGGGACTGAACCTGCCATCCACATCACATATAGCAGCTAATAGAAAATTAGCTTTCATAGGTCTATTTTTAAAACGAACCTTAAATTTAATTCTATTTTAGTAAAACTAAGACTGAAAATAGCCACCTGTAAAAATTCTCCATATGATTGTTACTAAAAATGTATTTTCATGTTTAAACTGCTTTTAGATATTAACTACTACATTGAATTATGTGTTGTTCAGACGTAAAACATTAAAAGAATTTTCACTTTAAATTAGTAAGTAATATTGACTACCTAGCCTGTGCCTGGCCTTGTGCTAACTATTTGCATTGCATCATTTTAATCTTTTTATAATAGCATTCTATACTATATAGTCAACCTCTCCTTTAAGTCAAAATGATTTAATAAGATGCAAATAAAAATTGGTGACAGGTTTAATATAATGTCAATCATAATTTACAAACGAGCTTTGCAAGTAGTGGTCAGAGGGCATTAATTTGTCCCACAGTTAAGTTGAATTAAACATATTCCTTGTGATCATGATTACATTATTAAACCTCATTATTTACATTTAAAATAATCACAATACTTTTTGTCTTTCAAACATGTAATACAATGTCATGCAAAGCTGTAAATTGAGTTCTTTATTTTATCTATGGTATTTTAGCAATAACTCAGGAATATATAAGGGAGATGTTAATTTAAAATTTCCCACTAAATTTAGTAACTACTAATCAAAGCCTAAAATTGTATATTCTTCAGTTAGATAAGAGCTTTTACCCAAGTTTATTTTGTCTTTAAGGACAGTGATTTGGCTTCTGAATGTTTGAAAAGATTTTTCAAAATAAGTCGTGCTATGGTGGTTGTTTCTATAATTATAAACTTTGATAGTAATCATGGTATACAACATTTCATTTCTGAATAGCTTTTGAATTCGTGAAAAATTATTAGCAATGAAAAATTAGCAATTTTCTTAAGTTATACATGTTTCAACATTAGATTAGATTATTTCTCTTGTGTTAATAGGGCTGCTGTTTTTGCTTCTGTATATTTATGTCTAGCTTTTATATGTAATTTAGTGTTTATAAAATGTGATTTGTAATAAATATTGTTAAAACGAAAGTGGCTTAACACTCATTTTTGAAGAGCACTTCTAAAACATACATTTACTCATACATGTGCCAAAATTTTATGACACAAATTTTTTAATGATAAAAATAAAATAAAATGGTCTAACCTCTGTCTTATGTTAATGAGAAATGAGCTGTATGGTGTGCACGCGCGTGTGTACAAAGAACTCTGGAGAAATGCAAAGAAAGTAGAAACCTATTTTAATCTAAGTAATTTCCAATATAATGCTTCCTTTGTTAATGTATTTCTTAAGATTAGGCATCTTTCTCTTCCATATTTAAGAAAATAATGAATTGTTTGTGGTATACCTTCTTTCAGGTTTATACAAATGGACCTTATTTTTAAATTACTGCCAAATTTACCAGCTTTTTGTACCCAACTTCTCCCTCTCCTAGCCCATAAATCAGAAGTACTGAAACTGCAGATTGGTTAGTTTTTAAAATTCATTTAGTATCATTATTTCTATATATAAAGCTTCTACAAGTACATTTAGAGCATTGGGGGGAAATCACCAGAAATGCACGAGACAATAGCAAAAATTACTTTCTATTTATTGGATAATTCTTGCTATGCTGAGTTTGAAATTTTTCTCATTTAAAACGGACATGTTTAACTCTGTTCTCTATAGGAAGAGAAGATACTGTAATTAGGATATGATTACTCCTTCAAAGTCCATTCTAGAAAATACTTTAAAAGTATAACACTAAAAAAGCCAAACTTCATTTGAATTTTAGTACTGAAAACCTCCTTTGTGCAAATGGAGTCATTCACTGTTGACATGGTTTTCTGTTTTGGCAGATGGAATGTTGGCGGGAAGGCAATAAGCCTTTATACACTTCTCTCTCCTTTGACATCTTGACTTTTAGTGGCAAATTCCAGCAAGATGTTCAGAAACAGCAATGTCTTCCCTTTCTCATGTTTTGGTGCTTTCCTGGTGAGAGTGGGTTCTCACCTATAAATAGCTGGTCAGGGAGCAGGAGCACAGGTAGCAGAGGGCACTGGTTCTGATCCTCCCCCCGGGGCCTGCCTTCCCCATTTCAGCTGAATCTGGTCCACTTGTAATTGGAAAAGTAACTTGCAAGTAGTGTGACAAGTAATTAACTGATGTTTGTAAAGTGCCTTGAAAGTGAAAGGTACCTTATGAATGTTAAGTAGTATTGTGCCGAGCAGAGTACAGATGGTGTTCTTTTACAGTAGTTCAGCTGTGCAGCCCGACACCCACCTACAAATAGACAACTGAATAGGAGAAAACAAATATAAGAGGCTGTTAAGACTTAAGTGCTGTTTTCTTACTGATTGATCTACTTTCATTTGTCAAATGTAGGTCAGTTTGTTAGGCTCATTAATAAAACCTTTTATACTATTTCACCCTAACTTCAAAACAGATTAAGTGATTTTAAAATTTATCTCATTAGAGTCATCTAGTTTTAGGACTTTGAAGACTGGACATTTTCAATCCCTCATTTTACAGACGAGAAAATTGAAGGTCAGAAAGTTTTGGGGCCGGCCGGGTGGCGCAGCGGTTAAGTTCGCATGTTCCGCTTCTCGGTGGCCCGGGGTTCGCCAGTTTGGATCCCAGGTGTGGACATGGCACCTCTAGGCGAGCCATGCTGTGGTAGGCATCCCACGTATAAAGTAGAGGAAGATGGGCTCGGATGTTAGCTCAGGGCCAGTCTTCCTCAGCAAAAAGAGGATGATTGGCAGTAGTTAACTCAGGGCTAATCTTCCTCAAAAAAGGAAAAAAAAGAGAATTGCAATCTGGGAACACAGGTTCCAGCAGCCACAAAAAAAAAAAAGAAGTTTAGATGGCCTGTCCATTCACACCATAATCACTGAACCACAATGTAGACCTCTTGGCTTTCCCCTGAGATCACCGGGAGAACAAGGCTCAGCTCACTCGTCTTCTCCTGTATGAAGCCTTTTTTAACACTCCCAGAAAGGCGCATTCCCTCCCTGGTGCTCACACAGTGCTCTGTATAGTTTGCCAAGTACCTAAAACATTTTATTCTATTTCTTTGTCCAGGCCTCCCTTGCTACTCAAAGTGTGATCTATGGACCAGCAGCGTGAGCATCACCTAGGGCTTGTTAGAATCTCAGGCCCCACACCAGATCTGTTGAATAAGCTTCTACATTTTAACAAGGTGTTCAGGGGATTCCCATGCACATTAAAGTTTGAGAAGCTCTGTCCTAGACGGTTAGTTCCTCTAGCGCTAGAATCAAGGCTTAGAGATCTTTGTATTCCTAGAGAGTAGCTTAGGGTCCAGTAACGTGATCTATATTTAATAAATGTTTTTGATTGAATGACACAATCGAGTGCTTCATTCTACTCTCCTTGATTGGGCTTTGGAATAAAAAACATTCTACAATATTTACTTTTTTCCTTCCTATTTTGTGTTGAAATAGTAATTGCGGTCTCTGCTCACTGAGGCTCCCAGGGAGCTCTGAGAACGCCAGTGGTATTCATCAGAAACAGAGAGAAGAGCACAGTGGTTTCCGACTTAAATTTTCTTCTGATGTGTTTTCGTATTCAAGTTGGTTTTATTCTATTAGGAAACATGTTGCATGGAGCCGGAGTGATGTGTTGATGCTTGGGGCTGAGTTAAAATAAAACAGCAGTCAGCTACCCGCTTTGGGCTTGTGGGGAAATTTAAGCACCTGGTCCCTCTCAGACCTGTCATCCTCCCTCTTTATCTCTTGACATCGTCCCACTTCTAGTGTTCAGGGATGAGCTTGGCCATCCTCAATAAGACTTGTGCAGGATTGTCCAGGGAAGTGTTCCGTGTTGCTCTAAATTTTGGGGAGAATATGATGGAGACAGTAGCCTTTATTTCTTTCCTAGAACAAAGGCTTAACTGTAAATCTAAAATTTGAAAGAAAAGTAAAATCCTAAATGTAGACTCTACCCTTTATTTAAATGGTTTTTCTTTCTGTCTCCTCAGTATAAATATATTGATGTCTTCATATGAAACTTAAATTGTAATTTCTTATTTAGAAAGTAGTTCTTTGCATTTGGTCAATGGTAGCGGTAGGCCAGGATTCAGGCGGCATATGACCGCTCCCTTCCTGTTACTTTTTTAAAGGTAACCTAACACAGGAAAAAGAAAAACACCTGCATGAATGTGGCGCTTAGGTTTGAAGAGTCAGATGTTTCTGACTTGAACCAGGGCTCAGCTCCTTGAAATAAAAAAAAACAAACCGCTGACCTCCTTTACACATCTTTACTCAAGTGTATCGTATTACAAATCCTTTAGTGTTAACAGGTACTTGCACAGTGAACTAAATGATTGAAGGCCATGGCAATAGACAGGGCAGCGTCTGAGGCCTCCATGGCATTCTTCATGCTGAATCCGACAGCAGGACTACAGGTGCTGGCCTGATTATTTCTATATTAGTATTAAGAATAAGGAAAAATGTAAGCCACTGGACACATAATAGATGCTCAGATTATGACAGTGCCCTTCCTTCACCCTTAGAAAACTCATTTCTATGAGCGATTTAAAAAAATTGTGGTGAAAAAACACACAACATGAGATCCATCCTCTTAAATTTTAAATGAGAACATTTTTATGGGAAAATGTTGCATTCCTCTTCCCCTCAATTATATGTGAAGAGGTACCTCCCATCTCATCTGAAGGGGCAGAAATCATTTAAGTGCAGTTGGGTTTGGGTTTTTAAATGCTGTTAGAGCAGCCACGTATTATATGTCAGGCTCTGTGTTAAGCACTTTACATATAAAATCTCATTTAAGCAGCTACTTATATCTCAGGTCTGTGTTAAGTACATTACATATAAAATCTCATTTGATTCTCTCAGCAACCCGAAGAGAAGGGTACTACTATTATCCCTATTTTTCTGATGGAGGAAATTGAAGCTCAGAGAGGTTAGCTAACTTGACCGTGGTCAAACAGATGCTAAGTGCAGAGTCTGGACCCGAGGCCCGAGAGCAGGTTAAGCCCAAAATCCGTGCTCCTAACCATTGCACTCTACTGCTCAGCAATAATAATACATAAAAATAATTGCAACCGTTTATTGAGCACCTGCTATAGTGGCCAGGCCCCGTGTTAAGTATTTTGCATACTTTAAGCCATTTAGCCTTCACATCAAATGTATGACAACTGTATTATTGGTCCCATTTTGCCAGTTGAAGAAATTGAAAGTTAGGCCCAGTACCTCATTTGTTTAGGGGTCACATGTTTGAGATTGGTAAGTGGGAATCTATTAAAGGATGAGATCAATATGGTTGAGGATGTGTTTGGCCAGGATAGAGCAGAACCTGAATCCTGCCCTGATTACCTGGTTCCAGGGGGTCTCTGAGGGACATGTACGCCTGGAAGATAAAGCAAAGGAAAGTGACCCTTTATTATTAGCTGGGGCTTTGCCCCCAAACTCCCGTGTACCACTGCAAGGGGTGAGGCTGGCCAATTTGGAAGACTCGATTTTTCTATGCTAGATGGGCCTGAGGCCCCCAAAGCCCACATTCTCGCTCGGCTCTTCTTCCACGGATGTCACAAGGCCCTACCTAGGGGTGCTAGAGGGAAAGAAAGACCATTTGTCTTGATGCCTGAGAGTCTCTGCCCCTGGAACACGGCTACTGCAAAGGGAAGGCAAGCAAGCAGAAAGGCACTTCCAGACAGAAGATGGAGACAACATGTAAGAACCCCTTACCTCTCTACTCCTCTGAAAGGGCTGCTTACTGTGACTGTGGCTCAGCCTAATGCCCGGGAATCTTCCCACTCCACATCAGCACTCCTTTTGAGGAGGTGGAGATGGGAGTCGGGGAGGAGAAGAGTAACTCTGAGCTTCCTTTCCCCTAAAGACCAGCGTTACCATAGTGGTAGAGCTAGGGTTTAAACCAATGTCTGTCTCTTAACCTCTATTCCAGAGGGGAGGGCATATCAAAATGACTTGTGGGTATTTTTAAAATACATATGGCCCTCCAGGCATTTAGAAAGCCTAAACAAGGTGACTGTACAGAACATTAAAGGTGGGGA